GCGAATCATTCCTCTGCTTTTTTGCGCAAGTAAGCTTTGCTTTATTTTCCTTTGGTTAAACGCAAAATTTGATCCCCCATGAAACTTTTGATTTAATCTGTAAATTTGAAAATTTCTGTTTTAATCCCTTCAAATTGAAATTTTTGCTCTTTTTTTCGTCCTTCGTTAATTTCTCACTTATATGAGACATTAGTTAACAGTAGAATCATTAACAACAATGACATGGAAATGAGGTGGACAAACAAGCGGATGAAAATTGATAATGTGGGCAAAATAAAACCCACTCTTTATTTTTATATTAAAATAAAAGAAAATTATATGAAATTATGTTAAAGCCCTCGTATCTTCTTCTTCCTTCCTCACTATCTTTCACCAATGAAACTTAAGAACCAGGACAATCGGGGCAAATCTGATCTTTCTATGACCCTCGTTCCATCTATAACCCAGTAATTTTTCGTTAACAAGAGAATCCATTTTCAGCCCTCATTCCATCTATAAACCTGCAATGCCCAAGGACCTATAGATCTAGATTCCCCACCCGATTCAATGAAATTACTCCATGTTCAATAAAATTTGCCATCACTAAAACCAGATTCAAAGTCATCCCTGAATTGTTAGGTATCGGCCAGTGAAATCCGCAAGTCAGAACGGAGAGTGTAGGAGATTGAAATATATCCCCACTATCGTTCCAAAATATTACTGTCTCACTTGAATCACTTGCCTTTGTCCCACTTATTGTTATAAAAGGTTTACGAGCCGGAGCAACAATCTTCTCAGCATAAACACCTGATTTAACCAGTATAAACACAGCTTCAGTGTTCTTAGATGGCACAGCCTCAATGGCATCTCGATATCGTATCTTCCTGCAATCTCCCTTCCCAGATTGGTCCACTACTATGAGCCTCGCGGTCGCTGAGGTTTGATCATCAGCCTCAGCTTAATAAACCATAACGATCAAAAGGAAAATCACAACACAGAAAATACGAGCAGAAGCCATAATATCTTATGGTGGTTAATTTTGAATCACTAAACATAAAACACTAGTACATATATGAAAATTTATCACTACAGAAAAATCCATATTTAGTAATTTAATCACTAAATCTTTATTTTCAATCACAAATTAAAATTAGAGATAAATTTAAATCATTAATAAAACTTTGTCATTAATATTCTTAATGACAAATTTGACATCTACCACAAATAAAGATTTTATATTGATAAAAAAATCTACATTATTAATGAGTTATTTGTAACAAATTTAATCGTAACAAAAAATATTTTTTGTTACAATAATTTTCATTACAAATGTTACAATTGAGTGACAAAAAAATAGTCACAATTGATGAAAAATTTAGTCATTAATTATTAAAATTGATATTAAATAAAAAAGACATTTATATAATTACAATACAAATATTGTAACAAAAATTTTGTCACAAAAAATTAATATATAAATTTATCACAAAAGTTTAATAAAAAATATTATTATTTCAACACTAATCAATTTTGATTAAAATTAATCAAATCCAATTAAAATTAATCAGATCCAAACTAATCTCAAATTTTATTGGACTTCACATGTTTTATAGTACAAAAATTTATTTTCTTAAATATTTCTCATCGATGTGAAATATATTTATAGCGCAAAAAATATATTTATAGCCCAAAATTTTATTCTCTTATAAGTTTTTTATCAATGTGAGATACATTAATTAGAGAAAATGGACAATTTTTTGTGACGAAATATATTTTTAGTGATGAATTATTTAGTCATAATTGAATGTGTAAGATATATGTGACCAATATTAGATTTCTGTCATAATTGTAATGAATTATAGTGACAATTTTTATCAACAAAAGTCTATTTTATCTCTATGAACATTTTTCACTGACGAAATATATTTTTTATGATGAATTTTTTTCTTCATCATTAAATATGTATATATTTGTGACTAATTTTTTTAGATCTGTCACAATTATGATAAACTATAGTGATGATTTCAAAATTCATCACAAATTTTTGTCACTAAACCATTTTTCTTATAGTGTATGGAACAAAAAAAAAATTATCAAAATTACACGATAAAAAGACAACTATTTTTTCCCCTTTATCTCACTCCTCTCTTATCTTACTCTATCTACATATCATAATTCGAATTCAAAATTTCTTACTTTCAATATAATCACTGAATTATTTAAGTTATTAACAAAAAAGAGCTGTTGGTTCAGAAGCGTTAATTAATTCTTCTGCTTCAGACTAATGCAAGAGATTTATAATTTTTAAACTTATTAGCTAAGTCCTAAGTAGGACTAATTCACCTGATCTAATTAATTTGGAGGCAGCTTAAACAGTCCGTACCAATTAACGCGTCATTTTTGTGTAGGATTGAATTTCTTTGTTGCTTCTTCACTCCTTTATTGGATTTTAACGTTGTTGAGCATTGTTCAAAAGCTCCGCCACCGTCTTCTCTTTCCTTTTGAGAAAGTATACGTTAAATTCCTGTAGTGTATTCATAATGTTGGGCTTTTGCTTGGTAGCGCCTTTCTGTTTTCGTTCTGTATTTGGGTCGTTGGGCGAGGCCCTGGTTTCATGATTGTATATAGCTTAAGGTCCAATCTATTTTCTTTTTTCTCTCCCTTTTTTCTTCATTTTCAACTTAAGATACATGTTAAAGTTGTTATTAATGATTTTTTTTTTTTACATTAACTGGTATTAAAAAAATAAAAATTAATTTTTACTGAGCTTTTCAATTTTGTGCTTTTAGGGGATCGATTAATGGTGTAATTATCTCATTTTTTATATTAATTGAAATTAAAAAATAAAAGTTTAAGTTTTATTTAATTAATTATCTAGTTAAAATAATTCACATGGCATTAGTAATAAAATTAATGTCAATTTTTATATTTTTAACATGTTAAAAATATGCAATTAAGATAGGGCACATGTTAAAAAAATATACTTCTAATTAAAGGTTTTTTTAACATGTAGTTTAGAGTGTATTTATTTTATCTTTTTATTATTAATTATTATAAAAA